TTTTTTTTTTTTTTTTTTGGTAGAAACCAGGGTTTTGCTATTTTGCCCAAGCTGGTCTCAAACTCCTAGGCTTAAGCAATCCACCTGTCTCAGCTTCCCAAAGTGCTGGGATTACAGGTGTGGGCCACTGTGCCGGCCATGTTTCTCTGCTTCTGCTGGCAAGCATGTTCTAGTATTTGCATGGCTCCTAGCCCTCATCTCCGTTTCTCTGCACAGATGTTACCTTCCCCGTGAGGTCTGCCTTATACCTGAGGCCTGTATTAGAAACTGCAACTCCCCATTCCCCAACCCCGTTGTTTCTTCTCTCCAGAACACTAAGCACCATCTGATCTACTATACCTTTTCCTTATTGTCCTAACTTATTGCTGGTTTTCTTCACCAAAATGTCAGCTCCCTGAGGCTAGAGATTTGTGTCTGTTCTGTCCACTGCTATATGCCCAGCACCTAGAACAGTGCCTGGCCCAATGAATAGTGAATAAATGAAGTGGACCCAGGGAAGAAACAGACAGACTTGCCCCCAGGTCACTCAGAGAGTTAGCTGTGCCCACACCCGCTCCTGGTGCCCTGCGTGATCACGAAGGGGATGGGTACTCACCAATCACAACGTCCACAGGCAGCTGGGCCAGCAGGGACCCAATGGGCGTGAGGGCCTCTGAGCTGTCCAGGGCCCCCTGGTCCCGGAGGTAGAGGATGGCGGTCTCCAGGCTGGCTGGTGGTGGGGGCTCGATGAAGGGGAAGGTTCGGGGGTCCCCCACGCTCATGCTCTTCATCTAGAATGAGAAGAAAAACCCCTAAGATTGGGAAACACAAGAGCCACTGTGCAGCACAGAGGGGCTCAGGGATCACAAACTCATGACATTTTAAAATTCCCAGTTCAGCGGGCACAGTGGCTCATGCCTGTAATCCCAACACTTTGGGAGGCCAAGACGAGTGGATCACTTGAGGTTAGGAGTTCGAGACCATCCTGGCCAACATGGTGAAACCCTGTCTCTACTAAAAATACAAAAATTAGTGGTGGTGTGCGCCTGTAATCTCAGTTACTTGGGAGGCTGAGGCAGGAGAATCGCTTGAACCCAGGAGGTGGAGATTGCAGTAAGCCGAGATCGGGCCTCTGCACTGCACTCCAGCCTGGCAACACATCAAGACTTCATCTCAAATTCCCAGTGTCAGCGAGGCACAGTGGCTCACGCCTGCAATCCCAGCACTTTAGGAGGCCACCGCAGGTGGATCACTTGAGGTCAGGAGTTTGAGACCACCCTGGCCAACATGGTGAAACCCTGTCTCTACTAAAAATACAGAAATTAGCTGGGTGTGATGGCGTGTGCCTGTAATCTCAACTACTTGGGAGGCTGAGGCAGAAGAATTGCTTGAACCTGGAGGGCGGAGGTTGCAGTGAGCCGAGATTTCACCACTGCACTCCAGCCTGGGCCACAGAGTGAGATTCCATCTCAAAAATAACATAACATAACATAACATAACATAACATAACATAACATTACATTACATTCCCAATGTCAAGATCCATTGTACAGAGGCAGGCAAGGAGGGCTGCTGTCTCTGTGTCTGTCTCCCTAGCACACCTTCCCCCAGACCCTGACCATGGACGAGAGGCACATGACCTGAGCTGGACCAATCAGAATCTTTCCCTGAGACTGCAGCCAGGAAGAGCATTCCCAGCATCCTCTCTGGTTGTGGCCAGGATGGAAGCCTATCTTATTAACCCAGAACTGCTGTGACTTTTGACTTTGTCCATTGTTTGGAAATGAGCCCATCTACAGCAGATGGAGAAATTCTTGGATTGTTCCTAAGTTAGACATACCATCTCACGAATGCACAAAATGGTAAGATCCCCCTTTCTGCCTACAATTGTTTCAGTTGTATTTCTCTCACTTGCAATCAAAAGAATCCCAATTAATGCAGTGGCCCAGGCAGGCAGCAGGTGGTGGGAGAATTAAGTGACAGCATATGTCCACCCCGGAGCCTGGCGTGGCATACGTAAGCAAACAGCACCTCTCTGGTGACTAGAAGAAGGAGAGGCTAGCAAGGCGGTTCATGTGATGGCCAGAGAGTGAGAAGAAGTCCAGAGAGCCTGTTCACCTGGCTTTCATCCGAGGGCACTAGAAGTTCTGGCGTCCACCTGCAAGCAGCTGCTGCTCCTTCCTCCCTGCTGACCAAGCCTTGATGTTGTCTAGGAGCTCACCCAATACTAATTTTAAAACCTTTATAGGCCAGGCGCGGTGGCTCATGCCTGTAATCCCAACACTTTGGAAGGCCAAGGCAGGCAGGTCATCTGAGGTCAGAAGTTCAAGACCAGCCTGGCCAACATGGTAAAACTCCCTCTCTACTAAAAATATAAAAATTAGCTGGGCCTGGTGGCACCCATCTGTGGTCCCAACTACTCGGGAGGCCGAAGCAGGAGAACCACTTGAGCCTGGGAGGTGGAGGTTGCAGTGAGCCGAGATCACACCACTGCACTCCAGCCTGGGTGACAGAATGAGACTCAGTCTCAAAAATAAATAAATAAATAACCTTTACATTAGCAGCTCTAATTTAAAGAGGCAGGGGGCAGGGCATGGGTTTTTTTTAATTCTGCAGGTGTTTCTAGTATGCAGCTAGGGCTGAGACACTGCTCTGATCAACTCAGGCAATGCTACAACCCTAGACAATTGCTGGGCATAGGGTGAACATATGTCACCTGCTTCTGCTGACAAGAGAGGATGAGAGACTGGCCAGAAGCTTCTAGAAAATGTTCCCGTGGTCTCAAAAATTAGACCCACAGAGAAGGGCAGTTCCTTGCTTCTGCCTCTGTATGGTAAAGGAGGAGGAGGTGACACCCACTGTGCCTGGGGCCAGTGGCCACTCACAAAGCAGGCTCTGATGCCTGGTGGCCTCGGATGGAGCCCTGACTCTACTACTTGCCGGCTGTGTGACCTGGGGCAATATTTTCTCTCTCTGTGCATCCTTCTTCTGGTCGAAAAATTAAGATAAGACAACCTATCCCATGGACTTTGTTTTTTTATGAGACAGGGTCTTGCTCTATCACTCAGGCTGGAGTGCAGTGATGCAATCAAGGCTCACTGCAGCCTCGACCTCCTGGGCTCAAGCGATCCTCTTGCCTCAGCCTCCCAAAGTGCTGCGATAACAGGCATGAGCCACTCATTGTTGCTGCGGGAAGTCAGGGACCCCGAACGGAGAGACTGGCTGAAGCCGCGGCAGAAGAACATAAATTGTGAAGGTTTCATGGATATTTATTAGTTCCCAAAATTAATACTTTTATAATTTCTTTCGCCTGTCTTTGAAAGGACACAAAGATAGATGTGTACCCCCCCACACACCCTTTGTTCTGCTCTCTAATCTTTGCACATACCAGAGATTTCGTAAGTTCTGTGAGCACCTGTTTTTCTGCATGTACCAGAGATTTTGTTTTGCACATACCAGAGATTTTGTAAGTTCTGAGGCAAGGTCACAAGACGTGTTTAAGTAAGATAAACTCTTGCTGCCATAAACCTGCT